TCATCATCAATCACTACGCATCAGAAACATGCCTTGAATCTTACGGTGACCGCGTTTAAAAATTTGAGACACGTGAAAATGAGATCTCGCAAAGCCACCTCTTGCAGTTTGTAATTTCCGAATGCATTAACATGAACTACGTAAAACAATTCCAAATTCGCCGCTGAAATTACCGAAGGCCGCCATCCTTCAAGGCCTAAAAGCATGCCGTCGGGCCTGGGTCATGAATCGAATTTAGCCCTAAAAGTTGAGACTTCCACGAGTCCCACATAACCCCGACGGCCTTAACAAATATTCCATCACAACAAACTTCATTTCAGTTCACCTTCATGGAAATTCGTTACGTTTGGATTAGGGAGGAAGAGGTAACAGGGTTGAACATGTTTACTTAAGGGATGTAAACTAGTTCATTTCTAGTTTGGAGGTAAAGAGATGAAGGTATAAATAAGATGGAAAATGTTTATTTATCAAAAGGATAAAATTGAGTTTTTCAAAAAGAAATAAGATTAAAAAATTAAATTGCTGTTAAAAAAATTAAATATTTTTTTTCCCTTCCAACCCATTACCTCCTAATTTGAGGGTGAGATTTTGAAGGGGAAAGAAGGTTAAAAATAAACCTTCATTTCCCCTCCCTTCCCTCAAATATTTTCTTCCTAAATAAGGTTAAGAATATCATTAACCTCCATTCCCCTCCCCTCCATTCCCTTCTTACCCAAACAAACTGTAAATGTGATAATATTCATATTAATTTAAGAAAATTTTCAAATCGCCATGAAGAAAGGTTTGGCCTTCTAACAGTTCATCTCTACACCCTTAGGGTTATTCCATAGAGGCCATCATCTAGCAGTAGTGGGATGCTTTACGGGCACCGTTGTAAATTAGGAAAACAAATCAGCAAGTAGTTAACGCCATGAATGATTTCAGGATTACTTCAAGACAGAGGGGTTTACTCATAATTTATCACTAGTCAGTTTTTTTTTTACCTCCGGAAGGCATATTCTCTACCTTTTAAGTGCCAATTCATGAATATGTGCAGGCTAAATTCGTGATTCCATGCAATCAAAATCATGTGATTGCTTTACAAAAATAGAACCATCATTGCAAGACGAACAAGAATCAAGGGAAACACCATCCTAACAAGATGAAATTCATTACGTAATAACATTACAGTAATCACTTGTCTGCCCTAGGTGAGATACTTTAAGCGTAATTTACTTCCTCTCGTCGTATCAGCATGCCAAAGCGGAAACAGCCTTTTCAAAATCAATTGAATGGGGAAAAGACATCAACCTTTTCGTCGTGTTACAAACAATACAACTTAAGGTTGAAAAGTTCGAGCAAACTGTTGAATGGGTATGCTTTCAGTAAAATAGCTGGAATCTTATTTAAGGGTCGCAAAGTACAAGAGATAATTGAAGATATTGTATCCTGCATTACAAAATATAGAAGTTGCACAGTATATTATATGCTACAAAAACAGCTTGCTTACAAATTAGCATTACAATACTGGAAAGGTACATTAAGCTTTAGATACTTCAAATAAGAACTTACTATGACCTTAAATAGCAGAAGGTGAGAATACCATCATTCTATAGCATCTGCATCACCAGTTTTATCATACAACAACCTGTCCTATAGAACAGAAATCACGCTTTACCAGACAAATGTAGATTACCATGGTTTAAGTCAACTCCTGGGACCTCTGTAGGCAATTTGGACCAGGAAACAGGGTTCCTCAGTCCCACTGTTCTCCTATGCATAACCAGAGCTAGACTCAGCAACAAACACAAACCAGCAACAAATGGAACCAGAACACCAATGTTTCCTCTAGGCCAACTTTTCAAAACCATGCCTGCACAAATCTTTCCACCAAGACTCCCCATTGAATTATTCATCTTCATGATCTCCACCCCATTCAAAATACCATCAACTCCATATGCCATGGTCTTGTTGGTAGGTCCAACACTAACACGCAAAACCCCAGAGCTATCATCATCAACAACAAAATCCACATAAAACGGAGAAGCCAGCGTATATGTAATAGACGAAAGATCTAAATCTTCATATGCCAGGTACCCATTAACATAGACATTAAAATGTATCAAACCGAGCGATATGCTAGCAATATCACAGAAATGCATCCTAACAAGATACTTATAACCCTCATCCACTGGAAACTCCCATGTCATATTAACATTAAGTACTGAGCCATTAGTGTTAGTAATAACTCGAGCAGTCTTGTACACGAAATCAGGACCTACTTCCCTGCTAGCCCCCCCAATTTGGTAATGAATACGACCACCAAAGTACATCCGTTTCGACAAATCATTGCTTGATTTCAAAAACTCATGATCAGGAATCCACGTTCTCCATACAGTATCATTAAAAGGTGTCACCTTTGGACCTCCAACATTGATCCTATGCACGGTTTCAAGTGCCTGCTTGGTTAATCCCACAAATTTCTCATCTTTATTACCATTAACAAGAAATCCCACATCAGCAATCAAATCTTTAGGTGCAGATATCACTTCAATTGCATTAACAAAACCATAATCACCCTTCTTTGCAGGCACAAAATTAATCACAATCTTATCAGAATCAGCCCATATAAAGTACTCCTTAACTACGAAGTCCCTAACTTTCCCTACACTGAAATTGCTCAAAGCAACATATCCGTTAACCAAAACGTGAAATTGAGCATCGCTTAAGTCCAAATTGGAAGAAAAAAAAGCGTGAAAATGAAGCCTTACCATATGAGTCCCTGGTTCCTCAATCTCAAAAGCATATTTTGAAGGTTTTTTGAAAATTCTTGCGGAGTTGTAGATTTGGATTGAATAAGGAGATGGGCTTTGGTTGGTGAGCGGAATCGTTTTTGCTGAGGAGAGAAGCGGCGAGTTCGGATTGGAATCAGAGATAAAACGGCGGTTGTCGACGGTGGTGTCGACGGTGGAGCCACAAGAAATGAGGTGGTTGTCTGTGGGAGAGAAGCTGGAAAGAGGGAGGGGGGAGAGAAGAGAGAAGGTGAGAATCAAGAGAGAGAAAGTATGGATTCTGTGTGAGTTAGTCTCCTCCATTTGAGAGAGAAATTGAAAAACAGAGATTTCAGGCAGTGAGGAGGAAATTAAAGAGCGTTTGTTTCTATTTTTGTGATAGTGAGTTAGGGACGAGTTGAATTGGGTTTTCGGGACATTGTCAACGCGTCATTTGGTGTCCGCGTTATGGTTATGGCCCTACTTTACGTGCTTACCTGGTATTGAGGTAGAGCCAGCGCGTCGATCTTACAGTGTTGGGACCCAACCAGGCTGGTTTAACTTGAACCAGCTGTTGGAATTTGGCTGCCTTTTCCTTTCCTTTCCTTGTTTTTTTTTTTATTTTTTTTTATTTCTCTTTTCTGCTAATATCCCAATAAATCTATTTTTAGTTTTAATCATCTGGGTATTTTCATACCAGCTGTTTTTTTTTTATAATGATATATATTTTTTAAGTTGGGTTACTGGTTGAGAATTTACTCTTATCAGTTCATGTTTTATTTAAAAAAAACTCTTGAAATAACAAAATTTTTATATACAAAAAAAATCCAAAACAAGTATAAGTAAATCTGGTTTTAACCTATGATTTCACAAAAATTATTCCAGTCAAGTCTACTCTACAAATGATGGAAAGATTCAAACCCAGTATTGTAAAATTGAACATTAAATACATGGAATATTATGCGATTGGCATTACAGATTTATAGTCCTAAACAACAAATTAATTTGCTTTCTAGTGCGGTAAACCAAAGCAATGTACAGGGATTGTTTATTTGAAATTATGGTAAATGATTGTTGCTTGAAATATTTTTTATTTAAAAATATATTAAAATAATATTATTTTATTTTAAAAACATTATTTTTAAAATTAGCATATAAAAACGATTTAAAATTTTAAAAATTTAACATTTAATAAAATTTAATTTCCACTATATTTTTAAATAAATTCACAACACATATAAAAATAGTCATAATCAAGTATTTATTAAAAATAATTAAAAAAAATACATGCAATTTGATCGAGTATTGAGAGAGTTGGTGTTCACTCTTAAGCTCAGGAATAAGAGGAAGAATGATGGACAAGAAGCCATCATCTTTTTTTTTTTTGGTAGTTTTACCCATAGTTTTTAAATTTAGTTTGATAATTGGCCGAGTTCAAGGTTTGGATTTCAGGTTTTGACTGGGTTACCAAGTCATCTAAGTTAATTTTATTTTTTAAATTAAAAAAATATTATTTTAATAAAAAAATAAAAATCAAGGGATTGTAACTGAGTTTTAATTAGATTTCATCAGGTCACCTCAAATTTTTTTTTTCTATATATTTTTAAACCTGACCTAGTTCTAATCCCAGATCTACCTCCCTAATTTACCCACAAGGCCGGGGTTTCAAAATTGTGGTTTCACCTCCCTCCCCCCTCTCTGTTCTTTCCAAATAGAAGAAAGCTTCTGTCTGTTTAATTTAGATGAAGAAACAAACTAAAATGTCATATTACAAGAACTTTGAGGATGTAAATAGCTCCAAGAAAGAAAGAAGGATGAATACTCATAGGACTTTGTTATTTGTTTTTTTTTTTAAAAAGATTATTTGAGCAAGATAGTTGAGATAGCTTAATTTAATTTGAATTTTTTTAATGTTTTTTTTATGAAATTATTAATTTTTTTTAATTTTAATTTTTAATATTAAACTATTAACATTTGAATTTTATAATTTTATTGTTTTGTTTTTAGTTACTCCTCGTGCAAGATAATTAAGGTAATTCAAGTTTTTTTTCTAATATTTTTTATTTAATTTTAGATTTCTAATTAAAAATCTAATATTTTTATCTTAATATTATATTATGCGTGATAAAAACAAGTTTATCCAAGATAACATTAACATTTTTTTTATTTATTTTTTTTACTTATCCTTTAACATTATACTTTAACATTATATTATTGAGCCCTTTATTTTTGCGTTTTCTTTTTTTTTAACCTCGAGTTATCTAATCTAGTTAACTCGGAATTAACTAGTTTATCATGATGTGTAAATGTTTTTTTTTACGTTAAACAACTTTAATGACCAGCGGTGAAGCTGGACACCAATCTAGTTAATACTACAAGTTTATATACCAGTCCCAATAATTCATAGCAAAACACACCACTAAACCTTTTTTTTTTTTTTTAATTATAAATACCGAGGATTATACTCTAAAAGTTACAAAATCTTGTGTAGCCACAATATAGATCTGGCTAATTCTCATTTTGGTAGGCTAATTCTCATTTTGCTCGCCTGTAAAATTTTGATTGCAGCACAGGTTTAGGGTTTAAGGATGCTTCCGTTTTTAATCTTCTTCCTCGTCCTCCTCTTCTTTTTATAAAATTTACATTTTATTATTTGATAGTTAAAACTTAAAAGTGCTGTTTAAGTTGGTTCATTTTAGTTTTTAGACCCGAATTTATCTATACTACTTTTAATCTCTTCAAGTAAGTTTGTCTGATTCCTATCTTTTTGTTTTTCTCTGGGTTTTGCAGGTTGAGAGCCTTTCGACAAGTTCTTGGTTGCAAATCGGTACTAAATTTTTTGTTACATTTTATTTTTTTGATGAAATGGTTTAGTTGAATTCATCTCATGCTGGAAGTTGCTATCATGGCTGGACTTAGGTTTTCAATGCTAAGAAAGTCTTTCTGTAATTCCATCAACCCCACTTCACAACGTCAATCACTTCGATTTTATAATGTTAATGGAAGTAGTCTAAGATCAGCATCCGCTATCATAAATCGAGATTATTACAAAGATGAATCAAAATTGGCTGGAAATCTGTCAAATATTATAGCTATGAGATCTGATGCTGGTGTCAATAACCAATGTTATAAGAATAAACCCATGAGAGGATTTATGTCAACTTCATCAAATGTGTTGCTTCGAAGTGCTGTTCCTTTCATTTCAATGAGCCCCGGGATGAGCTGTAGATCATTCTCTTGGTCTTCTGGTGGCAAAGTTGATAAATCTGGGGCTAGTGAATTTTCAGCTTCTTCCAGTGGAAGTGATGTGGACGTTAGTAACAGTGGTGGTATTGGAAGTGACTGGATTGATAAGGTTAAAGAAGCTTGGCAAAGTGCAGTGCATGCAGTAACTTATTCTGAGCAAAAGGCTAAAGAGATCTCCGCTGAACTGACCCCTTATGTTCAGCAGTTGCTTGATTCGCATCCATATCTTAAAAATGTGGTTGTTCCAGTTGGTTGGACTTTGACTGGTACTGTTGTGGCTTGGGTGGTGATGCCTAGACTTTTGAGGCGATTTCACAAGTATTCATTGCAAACTCCTGTTGCTTTGCTATCTGGAGGCACATCTGGTGAACAAATTTCATATGAGAAGAGCATTTGGGGTGCTTTGGAAGATCCTTTAAGATATGTAATCACCTTTATGGCATTTTCACAAATGTTAGTAGTTCCAGCTATAATCCTTTCCACTTTATGATATGTGAATGTTGATATTTTTTTTTATATATATTTTTCATTAGGTGACTAATATATTTGGACTCTGATTTGCAGTGCTGTGATGGTGGCACCTACTACAATTGCTTCTCAGTATATAGCACAAGCATGGAGGGGTGCTGTTATTCTTTCTTTTGTATGGTTTCTGCACCGGTGGAAGACAAATGTGTTTAATCGTGTGATAACATCGGCAACAGTTGATCGGGAAAAGCTGTTAACTCTTGATAGATTTTCTTCTGTTGGTCTTTTTGTTATTGGGCTGATGGCTTTAGCTGAGGCTTGTGGGGTTGCAGTGCAGTCTATACTGACTGTGGGTGGCATTGGAGGTCAGTGTTAGTAAATGGCTTGTGCCTTTACACATGCATTAATTGTGATGATAGGAATATTTGGCATGAAAAATTCTGTTATTTAACTAATCTTCTGAATTTGTTATTCTTGCTCTATTGATGCTTCCAAATTCCTATTTATATGTGATTGTAGTGCAATCTTAACATTCTAACATTTTTTAAAAAAATGCTTAACGGATTTCTTGAATACATGCTAACTCTATAAGTTCTTAAATCAAAGCTACTTCTTTATTCCCTATCTATCTGTTGACTTCCCTTGTCACTTAGTTTTGGCGAGCAATATGGAATTGTTTTTGCCATTCTTTCTTTTCACCCTGTGGAGACTGTCCTACCAAAACTTCATGTGTGTGTAACACTGTTTGTTCTCTTCAGAAGCCCTCCATATGAATGGAGGGATGCTCTTTAGTTATGTTGTTGGGACTTTGGTCTGCTATTTTAATTAGTTTTTTTTTTTTTAACACTAGTGGCTAGAAGGACTCAAGTCATGTTATTTGTTCACCTTAACATCTTTTTACCACTTCTTTTTTCATGTGAATGCTAGTTATTGCTTGATAGTTTTACAATTCTCATTGAAAACTAAAGGGTAAAATGTACGAGTGCCCCTGTGCCATTGGTCAAAGAACAAAGAATCTCTAAACAAAATTAGGGGTAAAAATTAGTCTTTCTGGTAAATGATGTTAGGTTCTCATCCAATTTTTTTAAGGTAAAAAGTTCCAATATCCCTTACACTAATGGTCAAAGCGCAAATAATCCCTGAACAAATTATTCAACTGAAATCGGATCCTTCTATAAAGTGGACTATGGTGTCACATGTTAGACACGTGATTTTACCTAAATTGGATGGAAACCTAACGTTATTTAGCAAAAGAACTAATTTTTACCTCCAGTTTTGTTCTAGGACTGTTTGAGCCGAATAGTTTGTTCAGGAACCCTTTGTGCTTTGACCAATAGTACATGAGTCCCTCATACATTTTACCCAAAACTAAATGCATCTTATTGATGATATCTCAATCCAGACCACCCGAGCACTTTTCTCTTAGGGTCACTCCTATGTTGTATCGTAGTATTGCGTTTTTGTAATCATATATAAAAACCTGATTCTTTAATTATTATGAAATTATGTAGGAGTTGCTACTGCTTTTGCTGCCAAAGACATCCTTGGGAATGTGCTCAGTGGGTTGTCTATGCAATTTTCAAAGCCCTTTTCACTTGGAGATACAATAAAGGTGAGAACATGTCATTGGTCCTTGGTTGATTGAAGTTTTTGTCTTTGGATAGTGAAAAGTCTTTATAAAGAAATAGTTTAGAGCAAAGATCAAAATTATGGTTTTCTGTGAAAAGTTCTGTAAAGTTTCTTTTCACAATGTCCAAGAGCATTGTTTCATCAGACATCCATAACTTAGTTTATGCTTTTATTGGTTGTTACTTTCCTGCCAACATCTTGTAATGAATTATACTGCCAAGCACCTTTCATCCAGCCCCTCATTACTTGTGGGAGAACATGTCAGGAATGAGCATAATAGTTGTGTAGATAGTATCCCAACCAATCATCACTATCATTTTTATTTTTACATGACTTTGCAGATACACATTTTGTTACTAGAAAAAGGGTATCTATCCATTCTGATTCTGTATTCATCAATACTCGTGAAGAATGGAAGAGAAGCTATTCTTCGTATGCATTTGTAATAATCTCGACAATTTTAGGGAAGCCCATTTGTCTTGTCCCTTTTCTCTTTAAAGAGTCACTGAAATTCATTGATTGCAGGCTGGAGCTGTAGAAGGTCAAGTGGTCGAAATGGAACTTACCACCACTTCATTATTGAATGCTGAGAAATTCCCTGTCTTAGTTCCAAATTCATTGTTTTCTAGTCAGGTAGGCCATTTTCCTTACAAGTCATATTGTATTGTTTTGGGAAACCATGGTCCAAAGCTGTGTTATCATGGACTCTATCTCTGTTTCTGCCAAGGATATTTACATCACACACCTAGTTGCTGATGTCGTCATATTCAAGCCTTATATTTCCTTTTTCTTATGCTTTTATTTGGATGTTGAAGTTTTCAGTGGTTGATGGCTTATCCTTAATTTTTGATTGATTTAAGTGGCCATATGAATATCCATCATTGATTTGGTTCTCTCATTGAAACTGTGTGTGTGTGTGTGTGTGTTTTTTTTTTTATATATGCATCCGCTCAGATACCTTACATTATCTAAAGAAGCATATCATCTCTATCTTTCTCCCACATATATGTGTCATCCACATGTGCATTGCACACGTGCACACACATTATAGTGGTATCTAATAACGAGCTGGCATCTTGAATGCTTGTTCAGGAGCACCTTCTTTGCCATGTTTATACTAATACTGTTGCCTGAATAATCTTTGATGACTGACATATAAAGTTATAGGTAATTGTGAACAAGTCTCGTGCCCAATGGCGTGCAATGGTCTCCAAAATTCCTGTGACAGTTGATGATGTGGAGAAGATACCCCAGATATCAAATGACATCAAGAACATGCTAAAATCTAACGCAAACATTTTCTTGGGAAAGGAGGCTCCTTACTGTTACTTGTCTAGAATAGAAAGTTCATTTGCAGAATTGACTCTTGGGTGCAATCTCAAACAAATGGTAAGCTCCAATCTTCCCCAGCGATTCTTTCTACTTTTGATGCAGGACAGAAAATCGACCATGATGCTTGCAAATGAGCTGTGTTCGCTTGCTGATTTTCATCTGTACCTGGCTCTGATTCTTTGAAATTTGAACATCATATATCTAGTTTGCTGTTAATTGGAACGGTCTTCTGTGCTTGCCTCTCTAGTTTAAAAGACATGTTGACCAAGGAATAAAGACATTTTTTTTTAATAGCTGCCACTGCTCTGTTGGCTAATAAATGCGACCCTAGTCCTTTATAACCTTCAATGATATCACATAAGGATTCTGGCATCAAATTCAGTTAAGCTTTGTAGGGCAGAATTGTATTTATAACATGTCCAAACATGCGAGCTTGAGTGTTCATATTGTTGATGACATTTCCAAAATATTGCCATACAAATATAACCAAGGCAACTGAAGAGAAGCCATTCCCTTTTTTTGTTTGTTTGCAAGGACCAAATGAACTGCTTATTCATATCTCTTGATGCTCACCATTGAATAAAAGAAGATTTTAGTCATTGATCTGGTTTTCTTCTCACGAAGCTCTGTTTTGAAGCTCAATACTTGGATGCATCGTCCTCTCAAAGAGATCATCACATATCAGCAAATTTTTAATCATCCTTCTCTGTTACACTAGTATATGTTTATAATCATGTGGTATGGACTGATGCTTTGTTGTTGTTGTCATCACTGTTTTTACTAATAGATGCTGTACTGCTCTGAGTGCAGAGCAAAAATGAATTATACTGCACGGAGCAAGACATTCTTCTGCAGTCAGTCAGGATAATAAAGGAGCATGGTGCTAGATTAGGCATCACTACCAGTCAGTCATACAGTGACAATGCTGGTAAACAAGATTCCGCATGGTGAAGCTTGGACCCTTCTCTACATGCACTCAACTTGAACATCACACTATGCAGAAACCTGTATCATGATGTTGTGTTCGAGTTGTTTTGGTGCATCTGAAAAGAAAAAAAAAAAAAAAACTGTTGTGGTGCAACGGCTGACAAGATACAAACTCTAGTCGACTGAAGAACAGGTTTTCAACTTTCTTGACCAACAGTTGTTGAAAGTTTTGAATCCATTTGTTCAGTTGAAAAGGTATCATTTCTTTCTTTCTTTCGTTTTTTGTAAAGAAAAAACCAAAAAGTCAAAAACATGCTTCATGAGGATTATTCTTGCTCTGTGTAGCGATAGACTATCACAGCAGTCTTAAAGAGCGTC